CTCCCTCCCTTCCACTGCCTCTGAAAAGCAATGGAAAAAATATTCTCAGGTGAGGATTAACAAAATGAAAATTTTAAAAAGGACACGTAAATTAATCTATTAAAAGGCAGTGAAGCCCTGCCCGGGGTGGATCGGCGGTTGAGCATAGACCTAGGATCCAGACGATAGGGGTTCGATTCCGGCCAGGGCACATGCTCGGTTACGGGCTAAGCAGCTGATCAATGACTCATCATTGATGTTTCTCTCTCTCTCCCCCTTTTTTCCTCTCTCTGAAATCAATAAAGATATTTAAAAAAACAAAAGGCAGTGAAGCACAGAACTGTATATTGTAAGAGGGTGAATTTTATGGCATGTGAATTATATCAATTTTCCAAAAAGGGAATAAGGGTTATGGAGAGAAAGCAGGGGAGGAGTTGCAATTATAAGTAATCAGAGGAAGCGTAGGTGACATTTGAGCAATGGTTGAAGGGAGTGAGGGAACAAGTAATAAATGTACCTGAAGGAAGTGCTACAAGCAGAGGCAACATCATGTGCAAAGGAACTGAGGTGGGAGCATACCTTCCAGCTCAGGAACTGCTAGGAGGCCAGTTGATGAGAGGAGTGGGAAGGAAGAGATTAGTAGGAGACGAGATGACATACAAAATGCAGCTAGGTCTTCTGGAGCTTCCAGGCCATTGTAAGGCCTATAACTTTTACATTGAGCAAGATGGAAGGCATTGGGGAGTTTTGAGTTCTGGAGTGACATGATCTGAAGTATATTTGTGTGGGAATGGGTGATGAGGTGAGAGTGATAAGATCAGATTTGCATTTTAGATGTTTCTCAAACTGCAGGGAGCATAGCTTTGAGAGGAGTGAGGCTGGAGGTTGGGAGACCAGATAGGCTAGAGCACTGATTGAAGTGAGGTATGAACCAAAACATTGGCAACAGTAACTGGGCAGGGGAGACAGAGGCCCTTCTGGGGAAACCTGTGAAGGAATAATTTAAAAGAGAGGGTGAAAAACAAGGGACTGTGGCTTGGTCCACCACTGGCCTTACATATACACCTTCTTTAGCAAGGTGAGGCCCCAAGGTAGCTGGAATAGTTGGGAAGTTAGGTATCAGTGTAGCGCCATGACAGCCTGTGGTGCCCAGGACCTGTAGTGATTGATTGGATGGGAATATTGGAAAGGATCAGTTACCTAAGGAATGAGGGTGGGCTCATGTCTTTCCAGCAGCAGGAGATACTAATCTGAGTTGTGTGTCCCCCTAACTTCACCCCCTTCCACAGACACATCTAACATGTCATTTGAGGAGCTGTTGGAATTGCAGAGCCAATTGGGGACTAAGACATACAAACAACTGGTAGCTGGAAACAGCACTAAGAAGCAAGGTTCTAGACCACTTGTCCAAAATGCATGTGTTGCAGATAAGCACAGGTGAGGAGCAAGGCCTGCCCCAGGAGTTGGAGGATACCTGACCTTGAGTAGGTGTCTACTTAGGTGGCAGGTGGGAGGCCTTTGACTAATACTGGAGTCCCCTTGACCTGCCCTTTAATTTCTCCATAGACCTCTGGAAATGTCAGCCAAGGTCCGGGTGCCATTTTTGCGTCAAGTTGTCCCCATCTGTAAGAAGGTGAGAAAGAGACAGGAAGTGCTTTCTTGTGAAAGGAGACTGAACTGTTTTTTTAATATTCTCTCTGCTCTCTCCAAAGGTGGCCCGGGATCCCCGCTTTGACGATTTGTCAGGGGAATATAATCCTGAAGTGTTCGACAAAACATATCAATTCCTGGATGGCATCCGAGCCAAAGAGAAAGAGGTGTGCTGTATGAGGCTGGTTCACCGGTTTCTGGGGGGTGGGACACTAGGGCACAGGTTAGAGAGTCAGGCAGAGGGAACCGGGAATGTGGTGGTAGGCAGGTTAATTCTCCCTAATTTGTTGGTTATATTCAAATCCTGGCTCATCAGTTTACTAACTCACCATTGGCAAGTTACTTAACCTGGCTTTGCTTCAGTTTTCTAATCATAAAAAGATATAATGATAATTTCTGTCTCATAGTGTTACTGAGTTAACACACGCGAGCCTCTTAGAGTAGGGCCTGGCACAGAGTTCGGCTAACATTTACAGAACACTAACCACGCTCATTTCCCACTGCGCAGCTTGTGAAAAAGCAGCTGAAGAAGCACCGTTCAGGGGAGGAGCATGAGAAACTGCAGCAGCTGCTTCAGCGAATGGTAAGTGAGTCAGAATTGTGGGTGGGTGGTAAAAGTAGTTCAAGGCAGGAGGTGATTCACAGTCCCTTCTATACACCCATTTCATCTTTGCTCCTCAGGAGCAGCAAGAAATGGCACAGCAGGAACGAAAGCGGCAGCAGGAGCTGCGCCTGGCTCTGAAGCAGGAGCGGCGGGCTCAGGCCCAGCAGGGCCATCGTCCATATTTCCTGAAGAAATGTGAGTGGGGCACAACTGTTACAAGCTAGTTACAAGGACGGAGTCGGAGGCCATAGCAGGGGGTCCATGAGCTCCCTAAAGAAGGCATGAAGGCTGGATCCCATGGTAAATTGGAGGAAAGTAGTACCATAGGGAGGAGTTACATGTAACCATTCTTATTTCCCTAGTTAGATTATGAGCAGGGGTGGCACTTTTTTTTCTTTTTTTAAGAGAGAGAGGAATGGGAGGGGAGAGAGAGAAACATTGATTTGTTCCACTTATTTATGCATTCATTGCTTGTTTCTTGTATGTACCCTGACCAGGGATTGAACCCACAACCTTAGCATATCTGGAAGAACATCTTAACCAACTGAGCTACCCAGCCAGGACAAGGTGTCACTTTCTTTTCTGTCCTACCCCCCACATATGCTGGGCTGGGCACATAGGAGCTCACAGTTGGTTGAACTGAGAAAGAATGGAATCAGAAAAAGTCAGCTTGCTTACACACACCAGTGAACTCTAAACGTCATGTATCCTAGCATAGTGGTTGAGAATTATTGGATGGGGAGAAGGGAAAGAGTGGTGCTCCTGCCTTGGCTTACAGCGTGCTTTCTCCATCCTCTAGCTGAACAGCGCCAGTTGGTCCTAGCAGAGAAGTACAAGGAGTTGAAACGCAGCAAGAAGCTAGACAGCTTCTTGAGTCGAAAAAGGCGCCGAAACGCAGGCAAGGACAGGCGACATCTCCCTTTGAACAAAGACTAATAAGGAACTGACCTCAGCTCTCCCACTGCCCCAGTGAGAAATGGATCTGTGGGGACAGATTTGGGCTTGGCCAGTTCTGGATCTTTCCTATTCAAGGACAAGGATCACAGCTGCCCTTGAACTAGATTGGCTCAGAGATGACTAGAGGGTTCTTGGACGGGCCCAGGGCTGGACAGAAAGAACAGCTCAGCCTTCTGCCACGCCATACTTTCTGCTCAGATCTGGTTCATCATGTCCTCATGTCCTCCCATCCTTGCCTTAAACCAATAATTCTGATATAGAAGGAAAAGGGTCAGTGACCTTAAGGCTGGTGAAGGCCATGGAGTCTGTTGATGGCTTCCAGGACTGGAACTTTATGTAGGAGCCAGTTAATAAACATTCTTGTCACTCATCTTATTCTGCTTTTATATATATATATTTTTTTATTGATTTCAGAGAGAGAGAGACATCAATGATGAGAGTCATTGATCGGCTGCCTCCTACACGCCCCCTACTGGAGGTCGAGCCTGCAACCCAGGCATGTGCCCTGACAGGAATCGAACCTCAATCTCCTGGATCCTAGGTTTGTGCTCAACTGCTGAGCCACGCCCGGCTGCGCTTATTCTGCTTTTTGTGTGAGGTTTGTGGGTTGGCCTTGAACTACTGTCTTAGTGGGCCAAACCCTAAGGCTCCTACAAAGTGAGAAGTTAGATCAGAGACCTCCTATTTAAACCCCCAAAATGGCATGATCATTTCAAGAGTGAACCAATCCCAAAACTCACCTACTTAGCTTTCGTTTTGGATGCAAGGGGAGGTAGGAGATAGGGACAGAAAGCTTCCCCAATAATGTCAGCACAACTGGCTCTCAATACTGTTTGGGTCTAGAATTCATATTACCCACGTGGACTGGAAAATCCTCAAGCGATAGTTCAGTTAAAAGTGGTTGACAGTGCCTCCAGGCACCCAGCAGAAGCAAAATGCAGTTCTCCCTTGAGGACTGTACTTTAAACCCAGACCTCAAGGAATTCCTGCAGATAAAATTTCAAGGACTATGAGTTTACAATGAAACACCAAGCACACAAGGAAAGAAACCACCATGAGCAAGAGTCATTAGCAATAGTAGGTAACAGAACCAGACCAGCAAGGACAAATGCTGCAAGTAAAAAATACAGAATATGAAATGCGTTATGTTTAAAGAAAAAGTATGACTAATGAAAATGTAAAAAAGGACCAGATTGGTTTGATTAAACTAAAACTTACAAATGAAGAACGTGCTATATGAATTTAGAAACTTGATGGTTAAGCAACAAGCTGGATATACCTAAAAGAATGAACCAGAAGTAGATCTGCAGAAGTTACACACATGGAGCCCAGGGATACAAAGAAATGGAAACTCAGGAAAAGATGTTGAAAAAACACTGGAGATAGAGTGAGAAGGTGTGACATAATCAGAGTTCCAGAAGGAGTGAATATTTATTTTAAAGAGGCTGAGAGTTTTCTAGAACTGAAATTTATAAACTAAGAATCAGGTAGCTCAGGAAATTCCAAGCAGGACTGAAAAAAATATTAGGTAAATCATGAGAAATTAACAGGACATTAGGAAGACTAACATCTAAAAAACAGCTATAAAGAAAAAGAAGAGGCAGAATTGGAAACTACCATGAGGATGTCTATTGCTTGATGCACCTGGGATGGGGTAAAAGGTGTTCTCATGACAGAAATGTGAGATAAAGCATACAATGCCCTTCTCCCAGTGGTTGTAAGCAGAGGGCTGTAGCTACCAGGATAGTTTACCCTGCCCAGAGGGTAAGAGGGATCTAGTGCTGTAGGGCCCCCAATGGCACATGTCCATACTGTTTTTTTTTATAGAAAAGTGAAGGAGGGAAAAAGGAACCTCCCCCCTAGGAAGTTCTTGCGGGAGATTGGCCGGGGGCGAGGGAAGCCCAGGGCTGGCCAATCTAGCGGGCCTGAGTTCAGCACCGGGCATGTACCCTGACCAGGAATCAACCCCGATCTGGATCCTAGGTCGATGCTCAACCGCTGAGCCACGCCCGGCTGGGCAATTTTGTAACATTTTTGACACCCCCAAAAAGAAACCCCATACCCTCCAGCAGTCACTTCCCATTTCTTCCCAGTCTCCCTAGCTCTAGACAACCACTAAACCACTTTGTCTCTATTTTGGGACATTTCATACACGTCAAACCTTGGTTCTTGAACGTCTCCTATCTCGAACAGTTCCATTCTGGACCAAGTTGTTCACAGAAAAAATGTCCAGGTTGTTGAACCAAACTTAACCGGACAACCCTTTCATACCTCAGCATGACAAAAAGTGTCTCTCAGGCAACAAAGGAAAGAATGCTTTTGTTGCTGGCAAAATTGATAATTAGCACAATTTTAAAACAAAGAGGCCATCAAGAGTGCTAATGTTGCTAAGGATGTGAAAGAAACAAGGACCACAGGCAATTGAAGAGGTAGAAAAACTTGATTTGGATAAATGAAAAGCAGTTAGCCAGTGACACAGCATTTCCAAAGCAGTGATGAGTGAAAATCGAAGATGCTGCACCCCTGGAAGAGTGCTGAAAGTGATTCTTTAAGGCTAGTAGGGGGTGGTTCGTTAAATTTAAGAAAAGAATTGTTTATTTATAAACAGTAATTCAGACATGTACTGTATATAAGAAAGGTTAAAATGGAGTCATTTGTGGGTCTGGAATGCATTAATTAAATTTACATTATTTCTAATGGGAAAAAGTAATGTGGTTTTTGAACAAATCGCTCTTCGAACAGCCTTCTGGGACAAATTAAGTTTGAGAACCGAGGTTTACTGTAAATGGAATCAATATGTGGTCCTTAGTGCAAACCACCTGTAGGAATATAAGGAACTGACACTGTGGGATGACCTCACAGGGGGTCAGGGTAGCAAACTTCTGTCCAGAGTCATCCAAGGTTTGCCCTCTAGGGATGGAAAGTCCTGAGGGCAGACAAATAGGCTCAGGTCTTCAATGGTGCTAGTGAGAGAAGGGTAAAGTCAGGACTGCTCACTGGATGGCTGAATTTGGGCAAACTGACCAGGCCAGAGTTGGGGTGGGGTTAGATTGTGTGTTAAGGACAGTGGGCAACACAGGAGCTGGACTGCAGACAGGAACATGCCAAGTTTTGGGGCCACAGCTGGTGTGTTCTTACCTTAAGAATTGTTGAGACTCAACCACTACAGATGAGCAGGTAGGTCCCCTCTGGGAGACTGCGGGGCAGGGTGACAGGATGAATGAGGGGTTGAGGGAGTGAAGAGAAGAAGACTAGAGGTGTGGAGCTCAGCCCACGCAGGAGCCCAGAGGGCAGCAGAGGACAGGGTGGATAGGGAGAAAGACCCATCTTGTCCCCTACACGTGGCGCATGCCGGCCTGGCTACTAGAGCCCAGGGGCTCTGGGTTTCTGATGGGCAAGGATAGGCTCATAAAGGGCATGAGAAGGGCAAAAAGCTTTGATCCCTAAAGGCTACCTCAAGAATAGGCATGGCCTGGACCAACAAAAGTGAGTAGGCCGTGATCTCCGGCACGAGGGTGGCCTACTGTAGCCCAAGCCTGCTGCTGCCTGCCTGTCTTCTCCCTCATGGAACAGTTCAGACCAACAGGATGGTTCTGCTGTAAGAACCACCAACAGCACCATAGGGCCATCTTAATGCAGAACAAAGCAAGTCCAGGCCCGCTGTGTACACCCTGTTGGCCCTCTGGTTTGGTCACCTTGATTCTCTCAAGCCCTGACCTCTTTTTCCCTTACAGATCCTATTCCAAATCTCAGTCCTGGGTGGCACCCAATTCTCCCTGTCTGACCTCTGTGCCCTCTCTCACCACCCGACTCACCCCTCCACTCCACCCCTTGACTTGCCTCTTTTCTTCTGTAGCTTTCTCCTAGTCACTTCTCAGCTCCAAGAACCATGGACTCAAGATGCCTGGGTCACTCCTTCCCTTCTCCCCTAATGGCCCCTGCCAAGAGGCAAGAAGCAGAGCTCCACTCCTGGCACCAGGTCACCTCGCCTGACCCACGCTGCCTCAGTATGGGTGGTGCCAGGAGAGTGAATCATAGCAGCACAGGCCTGCCTATGGGGCTAGCTGGGCTCTGCCTTCGGTGACAGTGGGCAGCTCTGCACAGCCAGAAGAGGGGCAATGAGGAGGAGCTCATGGGAGTTGCAGTTCCATCTAGGTCTGCTTCCAACCCAGATCCTAAAGATTCTGGACAGGGCACACATTCAGATTTCTGGGTGCCTGCAAGAGTCTTTTATCTCAGCTTCCCTTTGTCAGCCTTACCTAAGGAAGGTGCACTCACTGCTGGGTGTGGTGGCCACTGGCAAAATCTTCCCCATGTCAAGTGCTCCCACACCCACTGCTCTCAGAATCCCACAGTGACTGGTCCAATTCCACAAAGAAGGAAAATGGAACCCTGCTTGATAATCTGCCCAAGTTACATTCTGTCCAGCATGTAGCAAGATGGGCTTGAGCCTCTAGCCTGCCAGGTGAAAGCACTTCGGCCTATATACCCTCTGAGAAGGGGTGGGGATCCATCCCTGTCCACTTAATCCCCTGCTGAGGGGGATATTAAGTCCCTCCCAACTCCGTCCACCTTTCTCCCGTGGTGTCATCCTCACCCTAGGAGCAGATGGCATGAGACAGCCTCTGAGCCAGAGGACTTTTCTTCCCTTCTAGACAGCAAGCCCCCTCTCCCACCCCGCCTGTCAGATCCCTAGCAGTCACCACACAGGCCACATACTCCAACTCCTGCATTTTATTTCTGTAGAAAGCCCCAGCCCTGCCTAGCCTGATCCCATCTCCAGGACTACCGAAAAGTAGAAAAGCTCTGGGTGACGGTGCATGAGGCATAGGGTACACCCCGAGATCGAATCTGCAGGGTGTGGAAGGTAAGGGGTGGGTTGGGGCCTGAGGAGCCCGGATTCAGGGACTCAGTGTGAGGCTCCATCACAGTCACAGGGACTGCATAGGACAGCATCTGGGGCCGATCATCATGGCGTCTCACCGTGCCCTTGCCCAGGAGGTGCAGGATGCAGGACAGGACATCGGTACTGCTGCAGGCAGATCCCCTACCAAGGCCACTGACCAAACCCCTGGGGGGACATGGGCCCTTCTGCCAAGCCTCCAGCACCTTATATGGAGAAGGAAGGGGGAACAACAGGTCAGAGACACCCAGCTCACCCCACATCTAGCTTCCACTCCAAGCACATGCTGCCAGGGCAATGAACTCTAAGGACACCAGGTACACGCCAACCTCAACCCTCACAGGCACCATAGTGAACCAGAGGCTTCAAATGTGGACCCACCTCCCTCTGTGGACTGCGCCCCCGACCCCAAAGCTCCCTCACCCACTGCCCACCCTGGCCTACCAGACAGACAAGCTGGTCAATGTGCAGC